TATTTATTCATTATAAACTTCAATTATAATATATTTTATTTATTAAATATTCATTTATTATAAAATTATTATTTTTCTTGTACAATTCACTTACTAAATTGCTAGTTTAAAGAAGGTTTAATAAGGTTTTTACTATAATATATATATATATATATATAAGAGTTCAAACGATACCGGTGTAACTTTTATTAAGTGTTACACCGCTCAATAACTTTATATTAAATGTTAATTTTGAAAATTTAACCGTTAGATTAAAAGATCATATCTCTTAGATCATATATATTAGATTTTGTTAAAATTGAATAACAACTTGAAGGTAATCAAAGTGTTCATATTTTAGTATATTTTAAAATGTATATGTTACATCAATTTTGTTTTATGAGAATAAAGTATCAAATCATCTTAGATTAATATAAAATTTGATATATATGATCTAAGAGATATGAGCTTTTAATCTAACAGTTAGATTATATATATGTGTATCATAAATTTTTTAGAAAAATAAAGATTGAAGAAAAAGGTTGACACAAATATAAAGACAGAAGCAAATGCGCAATGGTTGCATGGCGGGTGTTGTTATAAAGGATCTTTCTTTCCCGCGCTTTTATTATTTACCCTTTTTGCATTGCACAACACTTGTCAATTTATGTGTAATTTTCTCTGTATCTCTTCCCCACATAGGAGAATCCATGCATATCTAAACTACACTTTGTGCGAAACGGAAATACTAGATAATGCAGAGCTTAGCTGGTTTATACTTTATAGTACCAACAAAAGCAAAAGTGGTTGCGATATATATATGATTGAGTGGATGACAGTAGCATATCAATGATACATCACAGAAAGTGATAGAGTGTTGAGTATATATTTTGCTTGCAACCAATTGTAACAGGTTAATCATTCGGCTTTTGCCCTTCATTCCCTGATTCTTCCCAACAAATTGTATGATGGCTGAATCTCATAATGCTCTCTTAATTTTCCTTTTCTTTTTGTCCTTGCTATGATTATTCAATAATGATTTTCTCAACTCAAACCATTTTCTGTCACTAGTTTCCTCCATATATGTGTGTAAAAGTACTCCATCCTCACCTTATTTGTGTGCAAAAGTAAAATTAATTAATATTAAATGCTACATTTATTATAAATAATTTATAATTAATTATATGAATTGTGGTATTCATTAATTATAACATAATTAGTTAACTACTTGAAGTGTGACTTTTCATATTAATATATTTTATTAAAGCAAGTTACTCTTAAATAGAAAAAGGTCACTATCCCATTAAAAGTATATATATACTAAAATATGTAGTAAAGTGAGTTTTTTTATTAACATTCAGAGTAAATTTAGTTTATAAGCATGTTTAAAAATAACAAAATTTAAATACATAATACATATAAATCGATAATATACATATATATATATATAATACACTTATTAATTTATAAGTTTAATACATGTTTTAAATGGGATCAACATGTCTTATTATGAAAAATGAGAAGAATAGGTAGAGAATTATTTTGAAAGGTTTGTACAAGTGGACACCTAAAGCAACAAATTAAATAAGTTTTTCCTGTTCCCCAAAGGATTAAAAGGTTAACATGTGATTTCCCATTCCCCCAAACCAAAGGGAGCAATGCAATCATAATTGGTTGTGAGCTTAATGGCCATTAAGATGGTTGGTGACTATCACATCGTAACTAACAACCCAACCCAATCCAAGAAATAAGAGAAAGAGGAAAGGTGGTGGAAGGGAAACACCAAGCATCGAAGTCAATAGCGTAATTATCGAGGAAGCAAAATTGAACAAGACCAAGGCTTAGTGTTGGGAGCCATGTCCTCTAAGATAGATAGGGTCCGAAATATAGGCCACTTGTCCTAAGCTGTCCGCGCTCAATAGCTACTTTGCTTCTTCCATTCATTTCTATTCCTTTTCTCCTCGTTTCTGGTGCATGCCTAATCCCTAATGTCTAATGAAAAAGCCGAACATAACAAATTAATTATTCATTTATTCCTTCATTTAGTACTAAAATCTTTAATTTCTTAAAACTTTGATTATTTAAACTCTTGTTGACTTACATTAACTGGGTAAACTTACAAAGTTTATGTGCCGATTTACCTTAATATTTGTAGTTATGTATTTATATGTTTTATTTAAAGAATTAGCACATGCAAACTTTAATGAATCCTCGATTAAGAAATACAGTTACAGTACAGTAAAGTTCCTGTATTTTGGAGTATTATGAAAAAGACAAGCTTACGAATTAAGTTATTACTTTTCATATGATTTTTTACCAAAATCAAGAGTCATCTAAGGCCCTTAAACCAATGTTACATAGAGACAAGCAGGGTATGGTTCCCCAAGTCTTTGTCAAACTTGGAAGTCGTTTCAAATTTAACTGCGGTGGTAGAAAACCAACCAACAGAACAGGAATAGAAACACAAGTACACAACACATACTAAGCCCCGACAAATCAATGTTATAATCAACATTACGTACAATTTAACAATATGATAAAATGTATTGTCATTTAATGCGCAAAAGAAATATGGCTAATAGTGTAAATTACAAGTAGAAAGATGGAAACCAAAAAGCTCATCGTAAACAAGGCTCCCGCACATGGTTCATCATTTTGTTTTGGCTCCAAACAAACGCCATTAACACCTTCAACTCTATTCTTTGGCGTTTCTAATTTTCAACACTCTCGGGATAAATGGAGTTAAATCCCCACACGCTAGCTTACAGCCACTTGCTTATGATGTCCTTTTGGTGGGGTCCACTAGTAAGGGTCCCACTTTAGATTTTACGAAACGAGTTGCTATAAAAATGGGCTTCCGCTGGAGCCCATTTGCGACTGGGTTTCTTCTTAGGCACTTGTACGCCACTACATGACAACCGTAATAACCGTCTGATTTTGATGTATTCATTTTAACTTTCTCTCCACCCTATGCCCAATTTCAGACTTCACATCACATATTCTGAATTTAATCATTGATTTGTTTTTTATAGTAAATTTTAGTGCACATGTTAATCAAATTATTGAATTCAAATTTCCTATTGATATTTGTTGCGGTAGAAATTTTGAATTCAAATGAAGAGAAACTTACCTAACTTGCTAGATGTTAATGATAAATATGGGATTAAGATTTGAAAATGCAAATGGAACTTTTTAGTGGAGCATCATTTTATGTGTAATAATAGGGATAAAAGTCAACACGCTCCAATTGGGTACTCTAATTTCCATTTTTCTGTTGTCCCATGATATTGTTGATCTGACATTATTCTACTGCTGCTGGGGAATGATACATAATGTAGCCTGCATTCGTTGTGGTTCAGAATAATAAAAAAAATTATCTATTTTTCTTACAAAATAATATATTCCTGTTATCTGCAAACACGGTAAGAACAAGAGGGCTCGTGTGAATTTTTTACTGGAATAATATTTTTTTTTTTAAATTACAAGAATGATCACTGTGCAGGATTATTTATCAAGATAGAACCAATTACTGTTCAAGCTCAGAATTCGGTTCCCGGGGAACCGAATTCTGAGCATCAAAAAGTAATTTTTTTTGTTTTTTCAACTCAGAATTCGGTTCCCGGGGAACCGAATTCTGAGTTGGTTTTAATTTTTTTTTTTTTTTCGTGTATGGGGGCAAATGTGAGCTGATCTGGGAAGCGGAACGGCCCGTTCCAAAAGCAGAACGGGCCGTTCTGCTTAAAAAAACAGAGTGCAAATTCTGAATGTGAAACGGCCCGTTCCAAAAGCAGAACGGCCCGTTCTGCTTAAAGAATTTGCACTCTGTTTCTTTAAGCAGAACGACCCGTTCTGCTTTTGGAACGGGCCGTTCCGCTTCCCAGATCAGCCCACATTTGCCCCATACACGAAAAAAAAAAA